GTGAGTGAAAGCAAACACTACTAAAAGCATTTCAAAATTCTTTTTTTTTTCGATAACATTCTTGTTGCTTGTTTATAGGCGTTGTTCATATTTAAAACAACCATCCAACAAGCAGCAAACATTAATTTTACTGAAAGCCGATATTTGCATCTGACTGCATCAGCTTCGTAGCAGAGTTGATCAAAACTTACTGGTAATTCTTTTTAAAATTTCTTTCACACTTTATGCTTGTGTACCCTGTTGAAACTTCAGGGTGTCGCCTAACAGCTAGGTTTACTGTTTCTCACCTAACTCTAAGGGTTGCCTCCGATCACGAGAGCTTAAAATTATATAATAACATGAATGATTGTATACTTATTTTTCTAATTTCTTCCAAGTATCATCAAACGGTTGTCAATATTAACCGATGTCAAGCAGGCACAGTTGTAATCGGAGAAATACAGCGTGTTGACATCGCACAATATTGCGATAATATAACTCTGTGATCGTATGTTTAGAAATATGATCGCTTATTAACAACAAAGCTCGTTTACGGCTTTCGTGTTATTCTGTATTTCTTCTTATACGATTGTATTTCTCCGTGTACGGTTTGAAGATATATGATCGTCCAAAATCTGATTATATACAGAGAAATTGAGAAGGATAGAGGTTACTTCATTTGACAGTATATCAATTGCGTAAGGTAATCTAGTTAACGGTATCTGATAAGTAGCAGTCTTTAACACTATGACATCATACTGTCAGACGCTATCTTGCTGAAGAAATCCCATAGGATCTGACCGGATTCTAGGGTAGGCCCAGTCACCTTGAAAGCTTTTATCATTTTGAGGGTGTGGGTGTGCAAATAATAGAAATACCGAAAGCCTCACCCATACTCACACCCAGACACGCACCCACACCCACCCCCTATGAGCGTGGGCGCGAGTTGTATATCCCTAGTTTCTGTTTTGTTTTTTGGTAGATGTCGAATCCTGCACAAAAAATCGTCCTTCTAATTGGTCCTCCAGGCAGTGGTAAAGGTACCTTGGGACACGCTGCTGCCTCCAAGTTGCCCAACGTTCTCCATATTTCATTGGGTGATTTCGTTCGTGACGAAATAGAAGACCCAAACAGTCGATTTGGCAAGAGTGTTTCCCCTTTCGTGCACAGAGGTCAGCTCATTCCGGACAATATCATGCTCGACATCGTTAGCCGTCGTCTCCAGCAACCCGATGCTTTGGCTTCGTCAACCATTCTTCTTGATGGTTTTCCTCGCACTTTACATCAAGCCAAGGCCTTGAACAAAATGCGTACAGTCGATCGTGTCGTTCTCCTGCAGGCGCAAGAAGAGCTGTGCGTTGATCGTATCAATCATCGTCGAATTGATCCAGTCAGTCATCTCAATTATCATACGCTACTGATTCCTGCACCGACTGCCGAAGTAGCAGCACGTCTCGTTCGACGTGAAACTGATCTGGACGAAAATAGAATCCGTGGTCGTCTTCAATTTTTTCAGCAGAATTTGGCTTCGATTCTGGCCGTTTTCCCTGGCAAGCTCTTTGCTCTTAATTCGGCGGTCAGTATCCAGGAAGAGTTGTCCGCGTTGCAGCAAATCTTGTCTGAGCCCATCGTCGTTGAGGCTCGCAAAGATCCGGATCCTTCATTGATGCCTGCCAATCCCAATTCGAACAACAAAGTTGCTAAATCATTGTGTGTTGTTTGCATGGACGAAGAAGCGGATGGAGTGGTCTTACCATGTGGTCATCTCTGCGGTTGTGAGTCCTGCTTGAATATATTGCTCAACAGTGGAGCCACGTGTCCCATTTGTCGTGCACACATGAACTCGGTTGTCAAAGTATTCGCGAGTGGAGTTGCGGGAGAAGACATGCAAGTGGAGCAAAAACAACCTGAGGTTGTGCCTGCACAGGTTGGTTGTTTGCATTTTTTTTGTGGTTGAGTTTTGAATTGTTTACTGCGACTCTATTGTTTACTTCAATTCATTTTTTTTGTTTTTCATATTCATTCAGGATGAGGATGATGGAAATTGGTCCTTGGCACAGCAATCCCTGCCTGTTGCATCTGAAGGTGCATCTTCGTCCTCCGCCCGCCCTGCTCTCTCCATCGCTCCAGCTGTCGAATGGGTCAATGATCAAGTCCCTATCCCCATTGCCGTTTCTATTGCTATTCCGGACATGACTCAGCGTTCACAAGTGGATATTTGTTGTGTCATTGATGTGAGTGGCTCTATGGGCGAAGATGCCAAATTCCAGGACCCAAACGATGACTCCAAATTTATCAGTGAAGGTATGAACCAATTGGACATTGTCAAGCATTCGGTCAAAGCAGTCATTCACACATTGACTGATCAAGATCGTCTCAGTTTAGTGGCCTTTCATGATGAAGCGCGTTCGGTCTTTACGCTTTCTGAAATGAATGAGGGTGGAAAGAGGCAAGCCATTGATGCTCTTGAGGCGTTGGAGCCACAAAACTCCACCAATATTTGGTATGATTCTTTTTTGTTTGTTTGTGAGAAATTGATATTTATGTCTTTGTTTTTTGTTTTTGTTTGTTCCAGGGCGGGTCTGGAAGCTGGTCTTGAATCTCTTCGCACTGCTCGTGCTTCTCCACGACGTTGTTTCATTTTGATTCTCACGGATGGTCAGCCCACGGTCTCTCCTCCTAGTGGAGAGAATATGGCCTTGCGCTCTTATTTTGAAGCTCATGCTGGATTCACTTGCAGTGTCTCGACTTTCGGATTTGGATATCAACTCCAGAGCAAGATGCTATTGGATGTGGCCAGAGAAGGCAAAGGCACCTTTGCGTTTATTCCTGATGCCAAAATTGTGGGTACTTGTTTCGTGAATTTTGTGGCCAATGCTTGTACCAACCTAGCATTGGATGCCAAAGTGCATTTGGAACCACAAAATGGGGCTGTTTTTCCTCCTGTATTGCATTCTTCCTTTCAGCGAGTACCTTGGGGTTTGGTCTATGATTTAGGACCACTGCACTTTGGTAGTCATCGGAATCTGATTGTACCTATGAAGATTCCCGCCGGTGTTCACGACCATCACCAACCGTTTCTCAAAGTCACTGTGGAATGGAACTCTGAAAACAACAACCACAAAGAATCCTTGATTGGTTCTGATTTCGTGGTGACTGTCGATGCATTGGCGGCTTTTGCTCGTATGTCCAGTGTTCATTCGTTGGAACAAGTCATCGACAAGTGTGATGCTACCGACCCAGCTGGACCTAAAATCTTGAAAACGCTAATTGGACAACTCATTGGATTGGAAGCGACAGCGAAAGATGCTCGTATTACAGCTTTGTTGAAAGGCGATTTACAAGAAAGAATCAGCAAAGCCGTTTCTACTGTGAAACGATACAAACGATGGGGAGGGCATTATCTGCGAGCGATTCTGAGATCGCATGAATATCAAATGAGAACCAATTTCAGTATGTTATTTTTTTTTTGGGGGAGGGGGGCATTGATTTTCATTTTCTTTACTTGTTTTTGTTCGATCTCTTTTGCAGTGGATCCAGGTCTTCAAGTCTATGGCGGTGTTCTATTTTCCGAATTAGTTCAGTCTGGTGGCGAGATTTTTAAAGGATTACCTTTGAAAAAGTACTCTGACTGTGATGCCAACAGCAACAACAATAACAGCAACAACAATAACAGGAACAACAATGCTGTAGCTGCGGCTGATAATTATTATGCTGGTAACGCTGGAGGTTGCTTCAGTGGGGAATGTGTTGTGCAATGCAAAGAACAAGATGATGTGGTCAGAGAGAAACAGCTCTCTCAGGTTGGCGATTATTTGTTTGTCTTTATTGCATTGTATTGTGTTCTTTTTTTTCTTCTCCAGGTTCGTTCTGGTGATTGTTTGCAAGTCGTTGATGCTGATGGTCATGTTAGTTTTTCTCCCGTCCTCTGCTTGGTAGAATTTCAAGGACGCTTTGATTTGCTTGTTTTGCCCTTTTCCCGTCTGGCTCTCACACCCAAGCATCCTCTTCGAATGCAAGGTTCTTTCGTTCGACCTTGCGATATGTCATTCCCTATGAATGATGATCTGGCTGCTCATCATACTGAGATGCCTTCCTCTTTGATCGTGGATCGTGTTTTCAATGTGGTCTTGCAGGATTCTCATGTTTTGCTTTGCATCAATGGCATGGAAGCGGTTACGTTGGGTCATGGGTTTATGCAAGCCTTTCATCCGTTTTATTCAACCAAACAAGTGTTGATGACGTTAAAACAGAGACCAGGGTGGAAAGAAGGTCATGTCATTGTAGCTCCTCATCATCCTTTACGAAATCAACATGAATATTAAAATTTAAAAACCCAATTTGGGTGGGGCAGATGGCTGCTCTTTCTCTCCGAGTGTTTTTTTTATTTTTTATTCTAATAATGACATTATTATTGTGTTTTTTTTCTTTTAATGGGTTCCATTTTCTTTTGGCTCTAAGGCTTGAATACCTGTGATAGATTTGCCCAAGATCAAGGCGTGAATATTCTGTGTGATAAAAGGAAAAAACAAAAAAGAGAAAGATATGAAAAAAAATGGTTTAATAATAACAATTAATATAATGAACAAAAATAACAAAAACAAAGAAAATAAGAATTGCACAATCTTGAGGGTGTGGGGTGTGGATGAGCATGTTGCTTTTTCTCTTACACCCACACCCACACTCTCAAGATTCTATGCAAAGTTCGAATTGTTTGGAAAAAGACCCAACTTAAATTTTTCTATATTTTATTGATCAAAGAAAAAAGAAAAGTAAATGAATAAATAAATAAAACTGTGAAATGAAGAAGATAATTGAATACTAAAGTGCAACTAGACAAAGAATAAAGTGATCATAAAGTGATGTGTTTACAATACAATAAAGAAGAAGGATAAATGTTTTGGAAATTGTGCGGAGATATTCAGAAAAAGTTCAATTAAATAAAATAGAAAAAGTTTATTATGAATTGTAAATTAGGAAAGAAGAAATTGTTTATATGAAGTTTGAGGGTGAAAATTTAGAGTTTAACAAATTTTTGAACACGCGCGTTATTATTATCACCAATATACATATTCATTTTTGCATCGAATGCAATGCCAAGTGGTTGATTTAATTGTTCTGGACCATTGCCACCTGAACCACCCGCAATAGTGATCCCGACTTGACTGTTGGCACAGAACATTTGTATTCTATTATTACCTTTATCAACAACATACATATTCAAATACGTATCAATTCTAATACCTGCTGGACTGTATAAGAGAGATGAACTGGAACCTGCTACACCTGGTGTACCTGCCACAAAAACACCCGACGAAGCACCTGGTGTCCAACGTATCACTGAATGTCCATCACTGTTTGTTATAAATAGATCACTACTTGTATTTGGAAAGTAGTGAATACCAAGCGGCGAATTAAATGTTGTGTTCGTGTTGTCTGCTGCATTTCCACCTGCTATAACCGTACCATTGACACCTGAAGTCGAAGTCGTTACAAAGCGCATAATACGATTATTATCATGATCAACGATATACATGAATGTATCAGTTGAATCAAAAACAAAAAATTCAGGACGATTCATTTGGTTTAAAGAAGATCCGTATCCATTTATACCGGCAATAGTTTTTCCATTTCTTGATCCGTTGCTGTACTTTTGTATACGATGATTGTAATAATCACTTACATATATATTCCCATGTCTGTCAGCATAAACATCATAAGGCCAGTTTAGTTGACTGCTATTAGATCCTTGTGATTGGTAAAGTCCAGCTACAATCGTTGCATTCGCGGCATTGTTCAATAATTTCCATACAACATGATTATTCACATCAACAACATACAAAGTATTGTTTGAGTCAACATATAAACCCGCGGCTGATACTAATTGTGATGAATTGAGTACAGTGATTCCTGTGGTATTCCAAAGCAAATTCCCTGATGCACCTGAAAACGATAAAAATAAAAAAAACTAATGATACAGTATTCATTGACATTTCTAAAGATGCCAGCGTGAAAAATCTCAGATCACAGTTTTAATACACTCAAACAGAGATCTTATGCAAGTAATTTTTATCAGAATATTTCTCTTTTTCAAATAAAATACAGAATCATTGTTAAAAGATGAGTTTCAACTATATCAATGTTCAACATCTCAAGAAAAGTCTTTAAAACAATTGTGAAATGTCTCTTCTTACATGATGGAAAGCAACTAACAGAGAATTCTGTTTAATAAAAAGAGTTTCTCTGCAAATTTCGTTCTTTAAAATATCCGTACGTCTTTACATAAATGAGAAAGAAATTCGAAAATATTTCCGATAGATTCTCATTATAATCGATACAATCTATTTTTACTCACATGGGTTTAATGATGCAGTTGTTGAGGTAGTGCTTGTGGTGGAGGTAGTAGTTGATGTTGTGGTGATGGTAGTTACGCTAGTTGTAGTACTTGTTCTATAGAAATAAACAATAATATTAACAAGAAAATCTCTTGGCACCATCACTGTGGCATTAAAATATGGAATACGATAAATCACTCTTATTAGTATCTTCAGGGTGTGAGTATGGGTGTGATATCGATCACATACCAACATCCTCGTTCACGATCGATAGTTTTAAAATCTTTTACTGACTAACTGAACGGCAGTAAGACTTACGTGGATTTTGTTGTTGTTGTCGTCGTCACAGCTAAAAAAAAGGATAAACGCATTTAGATATTGAAAAGATAAGAGACAAGAAAAGTTTAACTATAGAATATCCAGTGACGAGATTTTCTTCTCCGATTTGATTATTATTAATCTGTCTTAGTTTTAGTACTCAAATTCTCAACATAAGAAGGAAAATAAAAAATTCATATTTTGTAATAGTTGGACATTTTAGTAGAAAAGAAATCATGTCATATTTCTACTTACGATCAGTTACTTGTCTGTCATCTATGACAGTCATGGTTATAACACCTGATTGTGCTAGCAGATTTCCATATTGACTTGGAATATCAGAAAACAATTCACAGTGATTACTGTTTTCATCAAAAGTAACTGTACGACATTGTGCATCAGCTAAGCAAGCGAATTGACAGTCTCTCAAGCTCGAAGCAGGATCAACGATAGAAGATGAGCATCCGAGATTGTTACATTGATATTTAATATCGATGAATCTCGATAACATCATCGATCGCATATCTTGAGAAGCAGACTGTGTAATAATCGTGAACAGAAACAACAGTTTTATGTTTGTCATCTTGAAAAAGTATTCGAACTGTAAGTAATTAATTTACTCTAGAAAAGAAATGAAAATTATATTAAAAAGAACAAAAAAAAGAAAAGTATCTGCTAAGTATTCCCTTTAGTTTTCTTAAAAACTGAGAAAGCGTGTTCGTTCTATCTTTTATCTTAAACGATGGTCTCTCTCCTTCCTATTGTTCGGTTACTCTGTCATTGTGTTCAGCATTAGACGAGACAAGAGTCGTACAGAAAATCTATTGAACTCTGTCAGAATAACAGTCACTCTAGTTAATATAAATGTAACAAGTACCTGGGTACTACATATTATTGGAAGTACTGTGAATATTACAATTTACATGCACAGTATTATAAATACTTGTACAATGAATTAAACTTACCTATTGTATTTGCTGGGAAATCATACGTCCTATAGAAACATATTACTCAAGTACATTGACTAGAATGAGGCCTCCGATGTATAAAAAAAGACGGCGAAAATCTAATTTTAATCGATTTCAATCTAGTATATCGTGTACTTTTTCCTTAGATGTATCATTATCAAGTAATATTGCATCTTTAAGGTTGGCATATATATCATGGATTGATCTAGCATCATGCTCAGCATCTGTTGAGTTGAAGAGTCCCAAAGAGGATAAAAATATCTAGTTTCTAACTTACAATTCGAGAAAGACGCGTTTTACGATTATAGCCATCGAAGTTGACTAAAATCAAATTACCTGGTTTCTTTCACATGGAATAGGGACTGATGAGACACGGGACGGGCAACCTGAGACAGTAATTCGGCAGATATCGACAGGACTCGGAGACTTACGTGGTGAACCTGCGAAAAATACAAAAGATTCAGAAGACTCTTATCATTTCGGCAATAACCAATAAAAGTAATTAATACATCAAATTGTATAATTTATAACGTATATAAATGAAGCCAACTTTACTGTCAGTTAGGAAAACAACAGAAGGTTTCTTCTGTTTATGGTTAGATGAAAATGGTGAATGAACAGTGAAGTATAAGTTAGAAGAAGAATAAAAAGGTTTCTTCTGTTTATGATTAGATGAAAGTAGTGAATGGATGTTGAAGTATAAGTTAGAAGAAGAATAAAAAGGTTTTTTTTTGTTTATGATTTAATGAAAGTGATGAATGGATAGTGAAGTGTAAGTTAGAAGAAGAATAAAAAGGTTTTTTCTATTTATGATTTAATGAATGTCATGAATGAACTGCGAAATAAAAGTTCCTAAAAGAATAAAAGATTGTTTTTGTTTTTTATTCTATGAAATTGATAAATGAATAGTTTAGTGAAAGTTAAGAAAAAACTAAAAGATTTTTTCGATTTTTAATTCTATGAAAGGGATTTGTTGTAGTAGATGCATAATTCGAATTAGAATATAAATGAAATTATCGAACTTTCATAGTCGAGACAATTACTAAGCAAGAGAAAAAGTTTTCCTTATTCATATTATCTAGGTCATGTCAGGTCGGCCTAATTCAAAATTTGAGCAATTGTTTTCACAACGATTTATATATGGTTCGATAGAGCTCATCAAATTGTACAAGAAAATGTGTATAAAACTTTTTTTGACTTACTTTATTTAGAAAAAACTTTCGAAAAACTTCTATTCCTACTGTCGAAGCAGAGATTGATTGTTTTTAAGGGTTTGGATGCAGCTTTGGATATCT